TACCCTATAGTTTGTGAAAATAGCAAAATAAGAAACAAATTTTGTTATGTACTTAATGAAAAAATGTAAGTGTTTTTGATGTTTTTTTGGTTTGTTTCATTTAATGTAATATAACATAGTCATGTTTTGACATTTTTGTTTATTTGAACTAGCACTGAAGAGGGGTTGGAGTATATTATACCAACCCGAAATATATTTGTAGTTCAATGAGTAATAAAAGTTAAATTTGCTAACCAGAAATTGCTGTGAGAAAAGTCTACCAAAGCGTGTGTTTTGGATTACAGAGACGAATTTACATTGTTACATTTGACATGTTCAAAGTTTAGAAGCATCTTTCTTATACACATTACAAGTTTTTTATTTGTTTCTTAGTGTTTGTATGGCATTGTTTTCTTTTCAAAACTCAAAGTATAATACTCTCAATATGCTTTTTATCCAAAGACATTACAACTTGATTTTATTCAAACAGTGAAGTAATGGGTTTAAAGTAAGCTTCTAAACAAAAAATAAAATCTCACATTATGTAGGTGTATAAAATGTTAAATTTCACAACTGTTATAATTAAATCACACATCTATGTTAAGATGCTGCAGTCCATATTGTGTGACCAATAAATGAAATTTTCATTGTATTATACAGTATTTATGTGTTTTAATTTATTATTGGGGCATTTAACTGTGTTATTTTTACCTTCAATTATTTGTATTTGATGTTTTAATGTTATCAAAATGGATATTGTTTAGGAGAGTCTGAGAATGGATTAATTCATTTTCCACTATTTCTAATGGGAAAAATTATTTCAGACTTTGAACGATTCAGAGTTTACATGACCTCCTGGAATGAATTAAATTCAAAGTACGAAGCACCACTGTCAGGAACCATAATCAAACTAAAAAAACCTAACACACTTTTCCTCAGTGGAAAATGTTTAATCTGTAGATATTTTTGGCTAGGACTTACTTCTGACTCTAAACCAAAACAGTGCTTATTTCAAAATACCTTCACTAACGTTTTCGAACTTAGTTCTTCTTCAGGTGAATAAACGAAGGGCTGGATGGAAGCGATATATATATAAAACAGCTAGAGAAGATAAATGTATAAACAATAAGGATGAACTATCCTTATCGGTAGCATTGCAAACTTTTATTTATGATACATGAGAAGCCAAAAGCGATCCTTCTATCTACAGAGCATGCGCAAGTTTAAGACAATGATTGCACGAGTTTCCTTAGAACACTGCATTTCAGAATTCGTATGAAACAGATACGTTAGAATAACATCGATTCTGCCCGTCGTTTATTCACCTGAAGAAGAACTAAGTTCGAAAACGTTAATGAAGGTATTTTGAAATAAGCACTGTTTTGGTTTAGAGTCAGAAGTAAGTCGTATATTTTACAGTGTGTATAGATGAGAATATTTATTTTTGGCTAGTCCATTACTAGCCATCATCAGCCATCATCAGACTTTGAATGAATATTTTTGAATAGAAATCAATAAAACAATGAACAAACTAGTTAAATAGAAACAATGTTTGATGAATATTAAAATTGAAATCAAAACTACAAAACTAATAAAAAAAAAACTTTTAACAGTTTCTCTCGAAATTATTTTTAATTAATTTTTTTTTAATTTTGTATTTTAATTTTAATATTTGAAAGCAATAAATTCTTTTCTAGACATTTAAGTATATGTATTCTATCTGTCAAATGTTGTTTCTTTTGAATTTTATTTAAATATTCATTCAAAGCCTGATGGCTAGTAAAGGGCTAACCGAAAATATTTCGAGATTAAACAGGTTTTTAGACATTACTTATACATTTAATTTTTTTTCCTTACTTATTTTCAAATATAATTATAAGACTAAAATGCATTTACTTCTAAACTTTATCTTGATGATGATATTTAATTATTCTGTATTGAAAATTATGAAATTCAGACAAAAGGCTTGCTTTATTAGCTATATTGTTTTATACCAGTATGATCCATATAGTTATATCACAAATATGAGTATTACGAGGTGTGTTCGAAAAGTATCGGACCTTTATTTTTCCTGCGTAAACCAATGATGCACAGGAAGTCTCTTTCGGTGGAGTTGTGGAGGGAACAATCATGCACAGTCCTGAATTTTTTCCCGCCTGCAGGAAGCGTCAGTCGCTGGCAGTCGGCCTATGAGTGAGGATGTGTAGTTAGCGCTCATCGGATTCCACTAAGTTGGAAAATGACTGAACAACTTGAGCAGCAATATTGCATCAAATTTTTCCAAAAGCTTGGCGATACCCAATTGGAAACCATTTGCAAGATTCAGCAGGCTTTTGGGAACGATCCTCGAGGCCAAAAAAAGCGCAGCAGATCTGCACAAATGTCAAGGTAATGTTGACAGTTTTTTCAACTCCCATGGGGTTGTGTATCATGAGTACACACCACAAGGCCAAACCATCACAAAGGAGTACTGCTAGGAGATCCTTCGTTGTCTTTGTGATGCTGTGCAATGCAAATGACCGGATCTGTTGTCAACCAAAACTTGGTAGCTCCATCCTGATAACACACCTGCCCAATTTGCGCATCTGATTTGGACTTTCATCACCAAACACAACATTCCTGTGGTTCGTCACGCTCCATACTCTCCCAACATGGATCCATGTGACTTTTGGCTATTTCCCAAGCTAAAAATACCGCTAAAAGGAACCAGATTTGAGTCAAGAGACGACATCGTGCGGAATGTGATGGATTGGCTGATGGCCATTTCAAAAGTTGCGTTCCAGCAGTGTTTCCAGCAATGGCAGGAACGCTGGGAGAAGTGTATACATTACCAAGGAGACTACTTTGAAGGGGATTAGGGTTTTGTACCTCAAAGTCAATAAATGTATTTTTGCCGACGAAAGGTCCAATACTTTTTGAACACCCCTTGTATAATCAAAAATTTATTTTTTTAACTTATGTAGTATATTAACTGTAATAAAATAATTTTATAATAATTTATTACTATATCTATGTAGGTTGTTTTTTTTTTCAACCTCTGATGGTAAAAGACAACAGTAAATAACAAAATGAATTTATTACCAAAAGTTAGGTACAAACATAGTTACTTTTTGACATAATCACTGTGAAGATGAGCTTTTCCATCCCCTCTTCATAGAATGTTGCCACCAATGACTTGAAATGGGTCCTAACCACTCAGCAGTGACTGACAACTATAGTCGTCAAGGGCGATTGTGTGGCAGTGGTAACGATATCCCCTAAAAGAATTGGATGACTATAGTCGTCCAATTCTTTTGGGGGTATCACCAAAAACTAGCCTAAAACTATCGCAAAAAAAATTCACATAAAAAATGAATTATGTAACAATAAAAAAAAGACTTTTCTTTACTAGACATAACTGTTTACAAATCTTTTTCCAAAGCAGTAATGAGTAAAAATGCGTGTAAAAATACTTTAAAAATTTTCCACATTTATTCTCCACTACTGGTGGTAGAACCACACCTGACTAGTCCACTGTTGAAAGGTTAACATTGTTTTGAAGATCGTCATTAGTCTCAAACCTCTGTCCTCCTACTCACTTTTTCTGTTCAGGAAAGAGGTGAAAGTTGTTTGGTTCCAAATCAGGGCTATACGCTGGCTGTTTAAAAGTGGTAAAGACTTCCACCCAGCTTGGAACTTTTTAATGTGTGAAGACTTCCACCTCTTTCCTGAACTGAAAATGTAGCTAGGAGGGCAGAGGTTTGAGACTAATGATGATATTCAAAATAACGTTGTTAAAGCCATTTCCATTCACTGGCAGCAACATTCTATGAAGAGGGGATGGAAAAGCTCATCCACAGATATGACAAATGTTTCAATCTTCATGGTGATTATTTCAAAAAGTAACCCTGCTTGTACCTAACTTATGATGATAAATTCATTTTGTTATATATTGTAATGCTTCATGACTATTTTTTTGTTTTGGTTTTTACCCTGACCCCCTTCCATTTTTGTTCGTGGCATCACCCTTCCCAGGTTCATCTTATGTTGGCCGTCGGACTGGTTAGTAGTAGTCATGTGAAGAGGATATCCGCTTGGTGCAATATAAAAGATTGTGACCCACATGTAGTAGCACCTTTTTCTTTATTTTCCTTGTTCTGGGTTTTGTGGTGTTCTGGTCACGTATGGATATAGGAGATCAGACGCTGAGCTTGAGAGGGTTGAAAATGAAAAATTGAGCAGGAGATACAGCAATCTGTTTACATCCGACTAAGGACATTTTCACATCGAGTTACAACATGTTGGAGAGAAAGAAAATCATTGGAGGATTCATCCAAACAGATTAATTTGTAATTTTTTTTTTTTTTTGTTACACGCCTTTTATTGTTTTCCCGTTATAATGCGTCGTGAGCCCGCTTAAAGGAGAGGAGGGAAGCGTGTAACATGTGTAGTATTTTATTAGTGAATACTGTAAAAATTATCAATTTTGTGTTCTATATATATATTGCAATTGTGCCAAACGGGAATTAATTAATTAAAAGCTATTATATCTGTCAAGCCGATTTGTCTGTTATTTTTTGTTTAGCCCTGCAGGCCTCGTCCTACAGGGACTTACTACAGTATGCTTGTCTTCATTTTATGGTCTATCGGAGGTTGAAAAAACTGCCCTCATAATACATTTCTAGTACATTCATAAATAAATAACAAACTTCATGAATATACAAACATAAGTTATAATGCAAAAAATACTTTCATTAATTTTTTATTTTATCGTTTCTTATAATACATTATTAATATATTTCATCATTTATTCTTATAATTCATATAAGAGTAAGATGAATGTTATATAAGGATAAGATTGCAAATTGTCAGAAAATTGTTTTACATATTTTTTTTAATTGAAATTAAAAGTTGTTGTTGTTATTTTTATATTTATATATTAGTTAAACTTCAAATTTAAATTTAAATTTTATGAAAATCAAANTAATTTTATATATAATAACTGTTTTCAAATTTAAAAATCAAACTTTTTTAATTAACAGGGTAGACTTAGACCAGGTAGAATGTTATTGATAGATACAAAAGAGAAAATATTTGCTCGTGATGAAGAAGTAAAGTGTGAAATTGCTAAAAGATATCCTTTGGATGAATGGTTACAAAAGCAAGTAAGACATTTATATATTTTTACTGTTAAAAATTTAATGTCATATATAAATTTATAGTTTACAAAAATTAAATAATAAATAGTTTACTTTGTCTGATTTGCGAGAATCTCATGTTTCTACTGATCCTGAAAGTGAAATATCAAACTTTGTAATGCCAAATCATTGTTCCATCTTACAAGACAGAAGACTTGTTCTTTTTGGATATACTATTGAGACAATCAACATACTTTTAATGCCAATGATAAAAAACAGGTTAGTATATTTGATTATTATAAAAGATATTGTAACCCTTATTTAGAGAAAATATTTTGGTAGGAAAGAAGCTTTAGGATCAATGGGAAATGATACTCCTCTTGCTTGTCTTTCAATGTACCAACCTGTTATTTATGATTATTTTAAGCAACTCTTTGCACAAGTCACAAATCCACCAATTGATCCTCTTAGAGAACATATTGTTATGTCTTTGGTAAGTATTTCATTTATCCGATCTTTTGTGTATTATTTGTATACAGTATAATCTAGTATATCTTTAAAAATTTTTAAATTTTAGTTTGAATTTAAGAGATCTTTCTGAAAATTTCAATATTTTAAACTGATTTAATTACATTATATTAAATTACAATACCATATACTGTAACTTGTAGTGACTCCCGTAGAGCGAGATCCACAGGGCATATGAAGAAAATAACATGAAAGGACGTAAACATTGACCAGTAACATGTACACTTAACCAAGAGAACAAAAATTGTTTATTACATGACAAGGTCCAACAGCACATGGTACATGATGTACAGTCACGAGACTATATTGGTTACATAAATCTGATTGCCTGAATAAGAATGATTTTAGTCTTATGAACTAATGGAGTACCACCGATGTACATCCCCTTTTTTTGATACAATGCTTATACACAGTAGCCCTGCACAATCCCTATATGACATATTCATTCCCACAAAGACAACAATAACATATATGAAACTTATATCCACATAACTGATTGTCCTAATTGGAATCTATAATTCACAAATTCCTATAGCCTAATTCACAAATATGTGTATCCCTCACTGACAGACCATGGTACCAGCACAATGGAAATGGATCATTCAGTTTCAGAGCAAGATGTCCCTTTGTTGATGGCGACTATCTCTTGATTCTGATACTTCCCTTTTCCTTGTTTCTTTTCTTTACATGTAGCTCATCTGTCTGAATTAGTCTCTCAGGCTTGGCTGCTGAGTTCTCCCTTCTTACTTTCCTGAAGAGTCCAAGAAGAAAAAAAAGTCTCTTGATGCAGATGTGTCCTTTTTATAATTCCTGCTCCCCAGAAGTTGATCACTAACACATAACACTACCTCAGACCAATTATAAGACTCCAAACACAGCAACCAGGAAAAGGTGACAGCTGAGTAAGGGATGAAGGTTTTTGTGGCACATTGTACAACCCAATACAGAATAACAGAACAACATATATATATATATATATCTATACACAAGAAGAGTTACAGTACATAGTTGCATAGCACTACAAACTATTAGCATTCTCCTTCAAAAATATTCATGCCTGGAGGATTTTGTGATCTGGCAACTAAAGGAAAAAATCTGCCTCCATATTTTCATTTTTATATACTTATATTTAACTTTTTAATCAACATTTTCTTGTCATTTTCATTGTTTTAGTTTTTAGTTCAACTTGACTTTAATAATTTAATCTATGTTGGTTGTTTGACTCACTCTCTCTCTTTTTTTTCTATCCAGACTTCATTTTTCTGCTGAAGTTTTTTCCATTTTGTTGACATGTTTACTTCATTTTGTTCATGTTTTCCTTTCATTCATTGCCTACATTTTACAAGTTAGAGTAAATTTATAGGTGATAAAATTTATATGCCATAACTATTATTAAACAATTTATATTAAATTTAGCATAATATATTAAAAAGCTTATTAAAACAATGGTTAAACATTAATTTAATATTTTCTTAAAATTTCATTGTTTTTGTTAATTTTGTTTAATTTCTGTAGTTTCATATGTTATGAAGTTAGATCTGATAATAGAGTTGAAAATTAATTTCCATTACCATTATTCAGTAACCTAATTACTATGTATTAACAAAGATTACATTCTAATATTACTATTTCAAGATATTTTAGTATTAGATTATAATTAAACATTTGATGATGATTAGATATTAGATGATTGAACATTTGATATCAATAAGTTTTGCACAAAGAAATAACTTTGTTATATGATACTGAAATACTTTAAGAAAAGAAACATCATAATATGATTTAAAAGGCACTTTAATGTCATCTGTTAAAATTTTAAAATTTTCATTTAAATATTACTAAAAAGAGAGAAATTTTTAGACTGATAATTTACTAAATATTATATACAAAGAATTACAGATCAAAATTTATTAAGTTCCTGAAATTTTTTGTAGTAATCTGTTATAGTTAGAGCAAGGATGGCAAACTACAGCATGCATGTCAGGAATAATAATCATATGATCTTTTTTATTTTTTAAATTTTCAAAAAAATATGCTGTAATTATTATTATGTTATAGTTTACTATAACATGTTTTTAGATATATTTATATTAATACAATGTTTTTAAGGCTTGTCCAGTTGGTCCTGCTTCCAATATTTTAGAACCTGGACCAAAGCAGTGTAATCAACTTTGGCTGGAACAACCCATTCTCTCATTAAAAGATATAGAAATTATTAAAAGGACAAAATATAACAACTGGAAAGTAAGTAAATATACTATAGAACTTTAAACATACATTGTATTTTTTTTTTTTTAAATTAAATTTTCAAAATTTTTATTAGTAGATTTAGAAAAGTTTTATTATATTGGTAAACTCTTTTGACCTTGTGATTAAAAAGAAGTTAAAAAAAATAAACTGATATACAATTATATCAGTTTACATTCATCTGTTTATATTAAATTTAAATAATTTTTAAAAAATTATTGTATTTTCTGAACAAATTTATAAAATTATTTAAGATTTAAAATTTTTTTGTGGAAATTTTAGAATTTATTCTTGAAACTTAAGGTCTGAGAAATTTAACAAAATATAGAATAAAATTACATAAATGTTTTAAAATAGTTATGATAAATTAATGACAACTTAAAATTGGAATAATTATCCCAAATTTCATATAACAATTCTTTTAATATTAAAAAATAAGTTAATAATGTTTTGATAATTGAAAACATTTCATGTATAACAGATTCATATATAATAATCAAGAAACAGTTTTTAGGTACAGTAGAACCCCTATAAAATGGGTTCATATAATACAGATTCGTATATAACGGTGAAAAATTTGTGATCGTATGCATATAAATATGCTAAAAGAGACTTGTATGATACGGTAAAATGTCATCGCCTAATCGTGTCATGACAGGATTGGTCGAATCTAGACCAATAGCAGATATTGCACAAACCATTGAGTTTAAACAAGCAGTGGACCTACTGAAAACCATTTATTATTTAACGGCATAAAAATTATATTTATATTAATGATGTCTCCAAAGTTCAGCAAATTTTTCGCAGAAAAATAATTTATCAGGAAACATGAGCCCACCGTTCGATGCGCCACTCCGTGATGAAAACAAGCTTAAGCAATGGCGTCATCGAACGGTGCACACTCAATAAGTAATACTGCAATTTTTTGTTTATAGCATAGTTTATATGGATTATTCCCAAAAAATTATACGTGTTTTGGAAATGTTGAGTCAAATTAGTCTAGAATTGATTGAAAGGTTTTCTTCCATAACATTAAACATCCATAGTCCGTAAACTGCATACCTGCTGGGCTGTGATTGGCTCATGTATTTAAGAGCTCGTGCAACATGAATTTCATAAAACATAGAATGTATCTACTATGTTATAGGGGGGTCTACTGTATTTGTTTATAAGTTTAAACCTTAGTAAAAATGTCAGTTGATAATATTTCAAATGATATCAAGTGATATCATTTAATATAAATTGTTTTGAATGGATATTTCAGACTATGAAGTATAAATACTTGTAATTTGAATATCAATTGATATTCAATTTACAGTAAAACGTTTCTAAAATGAACAGGATTGGACTGGCACAGCAGGATACCAGGTTTTTCCCAGTAGGCTTTAGTTGTCCAATGGTCCATCATTAAAAAATTTAATACAAGATAATAATATAGTAAGAATAAAACACACCATTAATTTTTTGGAATTCTGTTATTTTTATAGCAACAATCCCATATTTATCTCTGTTAAATTATTGCATCATTGCAAAATTTCTTGGCTACAACCTGTGAAGAACTATTGATATTTAAAAGAATATTTATTTCAGGAAATACATTTAAAACATATATACATTATTGATAATAAAAGAAAACTCTGTGTATAGTTTTTTTATTTTTGCAACTTGCATAGAAATAATATTTTGTTGTTTACTTATATAATAAAAATGTATAATTTTTGCAAATCAGTTGCTTCCTCTTAATTATTTTAGATATATTGATTCAATTTAGTAAAAAATAATCAAGAAGTAGTCAGTAGCGAGTGCATTACTTAAATGTTATTGCTTAGTGATACATTTTGAATAAGCTCAAACATGTTTTAAAGACATAATCTCAAGTAGTGCCCATATGACTGTGATTACACTTTATTTAATAAATTTTTCAGTAGACTGTGACTCTATAAAGTCAACCAGCATTGAGTCATGCTTATTTTGTTATTAGTTTGAAAAGGATATTGATGAGAATAGAAAATGAGTAAAAATAGCAATGTATTGAAATATGTGTTAACAGACTGTGTTTTTAATTAATGTATTAATTTTATAAGATATTATATATATATATTGCAATAAATATAAAAATTTTAGAGTTTTAATAATGGCTAAGGACCTATACTGTAGCTTTAGACTGGGCCTAATTTTCTGTTGAGTCTGATCCAAAAAAATAAATAATAACAGTATTTACACTTAATAAATGTAATTATTGGATATATGTAAGAGACAGAAGAGTTTGATTTTATTATATAACTTTAATAAAAGTTTGTTTTTTATGTGCGTATTATATTTTTGATGAATTTTTCAGACAAAAGTTATTGATATTATTTATCCTGTCAAAGATGATCCAGTCAAAGGTCTGTTAAGTGCCCTAAACCATATATGTCAAGAAGCTCTTTATGCAGCTAAAGATGGTTATCAACTAATAGTTTTGTCAGATCGAAAAGCAAATTATAATTTAGTACCAATTAGGTAATGTAATATTCTATAATAAAGATATTTACAGTAGAGCATCGATTATCCGACTCAATTGGGGACTTAGGTTGGTCGGATAACTGAAAAGAATGAAAAAAATACATTATTAGTATAGTATATTAGTATATCCCATGTAATTAGTATATTGCTCTTAACCTACTTTGCGTTGAATTTTCATCAATGTTAAGCATAACAAAATTTTTAAAAAAATAATAATCGTCACTATTGTATCATTAAAAATTATTTTAAAATTATTTTATTGCTCACAAAACAAACAACCACTCATAATTAGAAAATTAAGTCTCGTTTAAATACTGGCCTCCCTTTCATAGTCGAACCAATGTTGCCAGCTAAAACACACAAAAATTTAACAAAAATAATATTAAAGTAGCCAAGACATACCCAAATGTTGTAGCGCCACATCACTAGCGGACATTTGAAATTTGCCGACTAGAATGGTCAGTTAACCGATGTGACGGTTAATTGGGGTTCGGATAATAGATGCTCTACTGTACTTGCATATAATTTTTATTATTTGTGAAACAAATTATTTACAATAAATAATTTTTTTCTGTATTTATTTGTTTTGAAAAATATATAATTTCAAAATTTATTCACTTATTTTATTTACAAAATTTGTAGTGCATTATTAGCTCTGGGAGCAGTCCATCATCATCTTATTGTTGAAAGACAGAGAATGAAAGTAGGATTAATAGTGGAAACAGGTGAAGCAAGGTATTTATTTTAACTAATGAAGTAGTTAAAAAATATCAGATATATTGAATAATTTTAATATACCTGTAATATAACATGAAATCTTTATTATTTGCAGGGAAGTGCATCACATGTGCATTCTTTTGGGTTATGGAGCTGATGCTATTTGTCCATATTTAGTATATGAAATTGCTGCTGGATTAAAAAATGAAAATTACCTTTCATTTTCTGAAGAAGAAATATTTGAAAGATATGCTGAAGCTGTAGGAAAAGGAATATTAAAAGTAAATCTTATTTATTTTATGTTCATTTATATTACCGATTTAATATGAATTATTTAAAATATATTTATTTTTCAAAGGTAATGGCAAAAATGGGAATATCAACTTTGCAGAGTTACAAAAGTGCACAAATATTTGAAATTATTGGATTGGCAAAAGAAGTGGTTGATAAATGCTTTAAAGTAAGTGCTTTTGAGTTATGAAATTTAATAAGTTCTTAGTTTCATTAAGTTAATGTAATTGTTTTACTGAAAAGTTTCAGGTAAGGTTCCAGGAGTTGACTCCTGGCTTTTGCAGATTTTACTGTTTAAGAATTTAATTATTTACTGTATACTATTTACCTTATTAACAAAAACTATCTTTTTTTATTTTGTTTATTATCTTAAGTTATTGGTTGTTATTTATTGTTAATAATTACATTATTTATATTATTCTAAATATTTTATAGAATACACCTTCCAGACTTGGTGGTTCAACATTTCCAATTTTAGCATTGGAAGCATTAGAAAGATATCGTATTGCATTTAATGATCGAGATTGTGACAACTTAGTTTTGAGAAATCCAGGTTTTTATCATTGGCGAAATGGTGGCGAGAAACACATAAATGATCCTATTAGTATAGCTAATTTACAAGTATAAAACTTACAAAATTTTCTTTACGTAATTTAACTCAAATCGATTTTGTTTAATATTTTTAAAGAATAATGATAACATTTAATCAAAATTTTTAGGAAGCATCAAAATTAAGCAGCCAAGATGCATATGATCGTTTTTCAGAAAGTACCTTGGATGGTATTAGATCTTGCACAATCAGAGGACAATTATGTCTCAAGTATTCTGATAATCCTATTGATATTTCGGAAGTGGAAGAAGCAAAAGAAATTGTAAAAAGATTTGTGACAGGTTTAGTATAAGAAAAAATAGAATATATTTTATTTTGTATTTCTTAATAGTTTTATATATTTAAAATTTTTTTTCAGGTGCAATGAGTTTTGGAAGTATATCAATTGAAACACATGAAACTTTGGCTATAGCAATGAATCGTTTAAAAGGAAAATCAAACACAGGTGAAGGAGGTGAAAACTCAGATCGTTGGTTAGATAAAGATCCTAATAATAATAGAAGATCTGCTATTAAACAGGTTTGCTGTTATAAATAAAAAAATAAAATCTAATTTCTTGATTTGTTTTTTGTTTTGTGTCCTGTTTTATATTTGTGGCATAGTAAACACTAGTATTGTGTTTTATTCCGAAGACACATGGCAAATTTTCCATCAAATTCCTTTATTAGTTGAGTCGACTCAACTAATAAAGGAATTTGATGGAAAATTTGCCATGTGTCTTCGGAATAAAACACAATACTAGTGTTTACTACGCCACATCTAATTTCATAATTTAATAATATTAAAAAATTAAAGTAAATTAGTGAATTATAATAAAGTAATTTTTTTTTTGTTTTTTTACTTTCTGCCTTGAGAGCACTAAGAGTGCCTTTTTCGGCAAGACCATTATGGGTTTGGCCAGGCCCACAATGTGGGAGCTGAACGGTGAGGGATGGAGCCTAACGTATCCAGACAGACCATCCCTTCAGATTCAGTCCTGGATCCCCAGAGCAGTAGGCTGCCATCTTAAATGTTTAGCCATCTGGTCACCAAACAGCAATTATTTGGTTTTGTAAAGTTTAGTTTTTCCTGTAACACAGTGTTAGTTCCCTGAAACTAAACTTTACTCCCATGATTCATTAGATCTGACCACTCTGTGGATTTAATAACCAAGGATCAATAAAAACTAATATGTAAAAAATAAAATATATGATAGAAAAAGTTAAACAATTAATTTTTAATGAACAAACAAAAATTTGAACAATAGTTATTATTCAATAATTAATTTAACAAATTTAACAAGAACTGTATAGGCAAAACATGTCAAATTAACAAAATAAAATTATCCAAAAACAAATTCTTATCAAATCATGGATCAGCTCACATTGCATTGCTTGCTTGCACTTTCTTATCCCACCATTCTGCTTCAGTCCGATTATACCCACCTTGTATCAGAGATGTCAAGACTGAAGGGTAGCTGGAAATTTTTCCAAGTCTGGAGAAGATTTAGGGAGTTGTAATTATCCTTATTTATCTATTTTTTTTATTTATAAAGAAAAGATACTGCAGCCATTTGGCCTTTTTCAAGTGTCTATGGACAAAAGAAAAACAAGAAAAAAAAAATTCAACAAATATTAAACCAAAAGTTGATTAACAAAGCGACAACTAAACAAAATTTTTAACATTATTTTTAAAAACTCTGTAACTCGATATTTTCCTAGATTTGTTACTTGGGTTGTTCCAGTGTGTTATCATTTGGAATATTGGTAATGATTTTCCCATTGTGAACTTGACCACAGGGATAGAGTAACCACAATTTTTTCGGGTATTTTGGATCAAAACAATATGATATTTTTAAAATTTTATTTTCAAGGTAATTATTATTCATATTAGCAAGGTTGAGGCCAAAGTTTTAAATGCTAAAACATGTATGTCGGACATTCAGTGCCACTTTCCTGTAAGCCTAGAAGTTTGACAGTGGTATTTGGATAGTCAGTGGAATCTTGCTCGACATACCAAACACCATTTTCAAATGTCTAGGCTTACAGGAAAGCGGTGCTGAATGTCCAACGTACACATTTTCGCATTTAAAAGTTCAGCCTCAACCTTGTTTGCTATTGCCTTTAATGAATCTGTGGCTCGCCATTAAAACTTGTTTTATATATATAAGCTATGGATTCTGTCAATTTTATTGATTTGATAATATTCTGACACCAAATCTCTAAAATGTAGGTTATGGATGGCTGAAATAAAACAATTTTGTTCCACTTGTAGTTTGTTAACTGCATACTTGGATGAAGTACCCCAAACAGTTATTCTGTATCTTATTTTTGCTTCAGCACATGTATGATATAATTTCTTAAAATGAGTGGTACTCAAAAAAAGCTGAATTTTTATTATTATTTTAGTGAACTTGGTAAGAGACAAGGCAATATTATCTGTCTGTCTGTTCCAGCAGAGATTATCATCCATAACTATTCCCAGATACTTTATCTCACTATCTGCTGATTTTATCCTCATTTATTTGGATTTGGAGATACCCCTATAAATTAATGTTATTTTTATTAACAAAAAATAAAATCTTTAATACTTTAATCTTTAAATTTTTTTATTAATAAAAAATTTTACATGTTTCATTTGTTCAAAAATAAATGGCAAAAGGAGTCTGCTCTATCCCTGGTCTACATAAAAGCTCTTGACAGACTTGCCTGTTTAGTAATGTTACAGTTTCCATCAACTTCATCTACATGTTTTGTTCATCTAAGTTTGTTTTTTAATTTTTCTTTGCTGGCAGTAAGGGGAAAAAATGAAATATATTTCTTAAGGCTTATTTATATGATGATTATACTTTTTAAGTACAGTAGTTACTTTGGCTTTTCTAAGATATTATACATGTGTATAAGCGCGTATTGACATGTGTAAAAGCGCGTATTAACAAAAACTGAAATAAACGAATGTTGTGCCAAGTGTTGGTTATTATGTTACCGCTAAAGCTCGAAACTCGTTAATCTGCAGATTAGCTAGGTAATCTGCAGATTAACTAGCGTGATCCATTAAAATTGTGAAAATTGTTCCATTTCTCAAATTACCTAGATAATATGCAGAGTATCTAGGTAATCCACACATTACCTGCTAGGCACTCAGTAAAGTGAAAATAAGATCTTTGCCACAAATAAATGTACCACAAATAGGTGNATCAAAATATATAAGTTTTTTTCAGTGATGGAAAGTGTATAAATATCTTCATTCAAATATTTTATTTTTACTAAGTTTGTGAAATGCAGTTTTGTTCAATATGCCATGATTACTTTCTCTCTACTTTAGGTAAAATTTGTTGAATAGTAAAATTTCTTGTTTTATAAAAAAAAATTTACATTGTTAATACATAAGGTTCATTTTTTCACATAGGGTTTTCTTTTATTTTTGTAATATCTCCATTTTTTTACTAATGATATCATCTGATTTCATTGAATTTATAATTAATAAATCCTTAATTTTGTGAAATTTATTACTTGCAAAACATAAAATCTTCAATATAGATAATTTATTAATCCAATTAACTTTGTTTTATTCACAAACCAAACAATACAAATATTTAAAATGTAAACCAGATGTGGTGACAGCTTTGGAATAAATGATAAAGATAATAAATAATTTTTGAAAAATGTATCTATCAATACCATTGTGAAGAAAACATAAAATAACATCTGAGAAATCGAGCTAAATATACAAATTTCTTAACTAAATGAATATTATAAACTATGAGATTGTTAGGATGGAAACTTTTGGTCTATGTTTTAGATGTTATAGGTATAAAACAATGAAGTCATTTTTTGATATAGTCTCCTTGTAATTCAACATGTAATTCTTGGAATTAGCATTTCAATACCCTTGAAAAATAGTCCACAGTTTTGTCTGCAAAATACTCATAAACTGTTTCCTGCAACTCTTCATCACTGTTTTTAAGTTCTTTTTTGAGTTTTGGAAGCAAGTAGTAATCACTAGGAGCCAACTCCCTCATACACACAACTCTAGGTTGTCCCTGCTCCACCAAATGGCACTACAGGGTACAATAGAGACTATGTCTGAATCATAGGAAGCGGTCGGACACCCCGCTACAACTAGGTGTCTTGGACTCTTTTAATGCAACGAAAACATATGTCCCAAGTTTGTGGTCTGAGCCCGGAGGAAGCCAGGCTCAGACCACATATGTTTTGGTGCAGTTTGTCCTGCACATAGGTCTCTTACTGACAATAAGTGGACTAGGAGCTGGGTCTGAACTGTCGGGTGGATGGTCAAGCTCCTTGAACCCAAATTCCTTCAAAGCAGTTTTGGCAGTGGCAGCCATGTGCACTGGCACATTGTCCTGCAAGAGGTAAACATGATGCAAATGAATGTAACAAGTCTAACTAAAATAAATGTTTCCAAACAACTTATGCAAATTAGCAGAAAAAACTGTTTTATTAGTCTACATATTAGTCCAGATGGTGCTCTCTGATACTATCATTATTTTATCCCTATCATGTCTAAAATATAGTTAGACTGGAAACTTTTGGCACCTACCACATACTTTGAATAACAATTTTTAGAACTTTTATAAGATTATTTATAATAGTCATCATCATACAAAAGAATATTTTCTGCAGATTAACGAGTTTCCGAGCTTTAGCGGTAACAATTATGCTAAATTGCAGTTTTAAAAAATTAAGATATTATAATTAATGATATTCTTCAGGAAGACAGACTGCAGACATCAAGATGCTTTGGAATTTTGTTTTTATGGTCAAGAGTATAAAGTAGTCACCCAAAATATAAAAAAATTCCCAAAATAAATGTAATGAAACAAAATAAATGATTATAAACAGAAACAAAATAGCACTTTACACAAGTTTATTGGTTTGTTATTAAATAGAAAAAAATTAATTATAGACCCATTTTAATTTTATAATCAAAAGTCAATGCAGTTATTTTTTGTCTAATTGTAAAAGTTAATTTATAAGTAGTTTTAAGAATATTTCATCCTCATTCTTGACAGCCAGATTAAAGATTAAAATAAAAGAGTAGTAAGAAAAACAAAAAACAGTTTTTTAGGTAGGTTACAAATTAAGCTAAACACTATATTATAGTTGATGGACCATATTATTACTTTTGTTATTTTAATCATGTTTGGATCTGTGTCTTTATTCTCTTACTTAGTATGAGTTACCTTTGTTATTAACAATAGTTCAATTATTTCATATCAATAAGCACCATTCTCAAACTTTATTGAAGAGCAAAAAATATTGTAAAGGAGAACTCCAATGTAAAGGATATTACCCATAAAATCTTTGTGATGGTATAAAAATATAAAATTGCACCAAGTAAAGGTTGTTGTTTTTTCTTCTTCTTTGTGTATTGGGAGAAATTTTAACTTGTAATGCTCCCACAAAGAAAGAGGCGTAAAAGAAATAGAAAGGATATTTGGCATAACAGAGAGAAAGTCTTTCCATACATAGTCATACAATACATAGTCATACAATGCAGGAAAATCTCCAAGA